CTGAGTCCCTGAGACTTGGGCTCCCCACAATGCCCCCACCTACCAGAGCCAAAGGAGCTTCTCTCAGGGCCTCTGATTGGCCACACGTACCCACTGCCACCCAGCCTGGAAGCAGCCCGGAGAACACCAAACTGGAAGTAAGACTTCATTTCTGACCCTCTGCTGGGGTCTCCCACCCCCTTGGGCTTCCCCAGCTCTCCCCTCATCTCACTTAGTTTTCACCCCCTCCCAGGGAATGTTCCACCCATAGCTCCGGGGAGCATCCCACTGTGGGGTGAGGGGCAGCTCCTTCTGCACCACCCGGCTCAGGAGCAGGGCAAGGTTCGGCTATGCCTGTCCTCCTCTCAGACGGAGAATGACCCCTCCCTGTGTCTCCCTCAGCATACCCTCCCAGGTAACCGGGTCGGGTCGCTTCTCCTTAACAAGGCCAGCCACCCCTCTTCACCATCTCTGACACCTTTGGATTTTGACCGGCTCCATGTGGGGCTCCATGTGGCGTGGGGGCAACATGAGTATCGGGCTTTCTCATCCGTCACTCATTTCACGAGAGCCGAGGTGCTGCCCTTTTAGTTGCTGCTCAGTCCGTTGTCCCCCTGCAGCCTGCCCATCCTGGCCCACGGCACAGAGGGGCAGCAGAGGGCAACAGGCCCCTTTTCCAGAAAGAGCCCACGGCGAACGGGTGGACACAGCTGGGCTGGGTGTGGGGACCAGTCTTAGTGACGCCTGGAGTTGTCAACATCCTGTGGCCTGCACCAGCGCCAGTTCTCTTGGGTGGTGCATAACCCAGGGCTGGCGGCTTCTTATACTCCCTTGGTTTTGCCATCTGCAAGACAGGGATACAGCACCTGCCGCCCAGGGGTACCAAGTCCCTGGAGAGTGTGAGTCACAATGAGATTGTCTTATGTCTGAGTCCAGCCACTTACCTGGGAGCCATTTCTCACCGCCCACCCTACTTGAGGGCCTGGGGAACAGCTGTTTTAGAGCTAACCTTTCCCCGTCAACCAAAATCGCCACACCTGGGGGGGCGGTGCTGCTGGGATGCTTCCCTTGTTCCCTGTCGCAGAGCCCCCGGCACTCTCTCCCGGGCCCTGGCCGGTCTCCGGTGGGCTTTCCCTACAAGCCCACCTCAGCTGCTGAAGAGCTGCCTTGGCCTGGGGGTCTTGGGCTGGGAGAAGAAGGCAGCGGCCAGAGCTGGCCCAGTCAGTCAGAAGGTCCAGAGGTGGCCCTGAAAACTGTGCAGCCTGCCTCCCCCTCCTCTTCCTCTCCCAGCAGCCCGCCCGCATGGGGCCCCATCTGGCACCACATGGGCCATAGGTCCTGGTCTCTCCCTTCCCAGAGCTGTTCTTCATGCTCAATGTGTGACTCCTCTGCCCCCACCCCATACTGAAGGGGGTCCTGGCACTGTCACCACAGTTCCATCTCTGGGACCCCCAAGACTGACCAGTCCCAGCCCCTACACATGCATGTCACTGTCCTCCTTGACTGCAGAATTCCACTGCAAGCTTGCCCTCCTCCCCGTGTGATACCTGTGCCTCCTGACTCCCTCTCCACCTGCTTGCAGAGATCAGTGTACTTCTCAATCGTTGTCCATATCTTTTCCAAAAAGATTCCTCAATGCTTTTCTTTTCAAAAGGGAAAAAAAAAGGAAAAAAAAAACAATGCCAACAGCCCAGCGTCCGTGAGCAACCCAACAGTAACAAAGCATGTGTTCGGGATGGAGGAAGGTAAGGCCACACGTTTCCATTGCCGCTTGCTCCTAGGGCTGGGCGGCCGGGATGACTGGAGGGGAATCTGTGCGCACCCTCCTCCCCTCTGCGCCCCCACACTCACTGTCCTCCGTGGGAAGCAGAGAGGGTGTGAGAGAAGCATGTAGAAAAGTACCCAGGAGACTGTCCCAGGGCCAGCCAGGCCCCTGGTTCTTTCAGTTAGTCCATGCTGAAGAATGGGCCCCCACCTCCCCTTACCACGTCATTCATTCATTCATTCATTTCAGAAATGTGTTTGGAGCACCAGCAATCTTCCAGGCCCTGTGATTGCCACTGGGCATACAGAGATATAAGGCACAGAAGCTGCCCCTGAGGCAGATAGGGAGACACACAAGGGTGGCTTGGAGGGCCTGGTCTAGGAGTCAGCACAGAGCACGATGAAGCCCAGCTCTGCCAGGGGAACAGGACAGGCTCGTGGAGGAGTGGCCATTTGTGCTAAGCTTTGGAAGATGAGTGGGTGTTCTGGGGCCCAGAGAGACTGGAAGGGCTCTTCAGTCAGAGGAAGGTCTGTGAGCACAGGCCCAGAGGCCGAAGGCAGCCTGGAGAGGCGGGGGGTCCAGACCTGCACAGGTGGTTACTGTGGTTCCTCAGACATAATAGTAGGTGACACTAGTGAGGTGGGGCTCGGGGGGCAGGTCATGGAAGGCCATTTTGTAGTGTGGGGAGTTCAAACCTTATCCTTGGGACTATTATGAGTCGTCAAAGGTTTTTAAGCAGAAGTAAAGCAAGATGAGGTTTGTGCTGTAGAGAGACCACTCTGGCTTTGGTGTGGGTTTGCAGGTCAGGAGACGCAGGTGCACAGTGCAGGCCTGCCCAGGGCAGTGGCAGTGAACAGAGAAACCCAGCAGGGCCTGGGTTACCCTGGGATGTGGGGTGAGGGGGAAGCCTACGCGCTTCCATCTGACCTGGGCCTAATCGCTGAAGAGAAAGTAGGAGCGAGGCAGCTCAAGCCCACCTGGCCCTGAGGAGCAGCAAATTCATCTTGTAAGCCTCTGGGCAACCATCCCCACACCGTCACATGCTGGGGTGGGGTGTGTCCACTCAGACTCATGTGGGGGGTCACTGAAGCTGCTGGGGGTGTTGCTGGGGTCCTGCCCCCAGGACAGTGGGGGTGCTGTGCTTGGTCCCAGGCTCTGGTTTTCTCGGCTTTCCTGGCAAGGTGGACGTGTTGGCATTTTGCATCAAGGCTGTTGGGGCTGTCCCTCAGCTCTGAGAAGGGGCTAATCTTCCCCCATCCTGGTGGCCTTTCCTGCTCCTTCATCTGGGGCTTTCTTCCTTGGACCTGGTGCACAGATCCTAAGGAAGCCCCTGCTTCTCTTGCTATGCTGGTGCTCTGCTGGTGCTCCCTGCCCTCCTGGTCCTGCTGTCAGCGCCCCCTAGTGCCGGGACGGCCGTGCATGAGGGCAAGGGCCTCGAAACCCAACTGAATGGGGCCTCAGCGACGGCCCGCCTGCACTCTCCTTGACTTGCTTATGGGGAAAGAAGGGAGTGGAGGAAGCCCCCTTGGAGTCTGAAGCTTCCATATAGAATTCCCAGGGTCTTCTCTTTGCTTTCCTATCCTCTTCCTCTCGTGGCACAATGGTCTGTACCCCCAAATTCAGGTGAGCTCAAAGAATGAGCAGGAAAAAAGAGATTCCACCCAGCAGCCACCTGCCTTGTTTTCTGTCCATATCCAGATAACTCTTGGCTTTCCCCAGTAGAGGCCCAGCAGGGCAGCCAGTGTCTCTTGGAGATCAGGGACCATAGCTAGGCCCTCAGCTTATGTCCACAGCCCCCTCCTTCCACAGCCCCTAAACTGCTGAGAGGGCCTGGTGTCCCAGTGCCCCCATCCAGCCCAGGCCTGGGCCCCAGACTTGGCTGATGTGTCCTTGGGGCACCTCACACCTGGGCCCAGGTGCCTTCCTTTCCCCCACTCCATTCTGTGCTGCTGCTGGGGGGTGGCCTGCAGGAAGTGAGGGTCAGTGGTTAGTTCCTGGCTGGTGGTGACGGCCATGACCCCTTCGTTCCCTAACAAAAGCCAGCTGTGCTGTGTGTATTGTGGCAGGGGGCCTGGGAGCAGGCGCAGGCTGGAGATCAAGGTCTCAAACCAGACCAGATGAGCACACCTTGCTGTTTCAAGTGACTGCCTTGAGGTCCTGCACTCCTGAGGTGGACAGGCCAAATGCCCCCAGTCACCGGCAGGTGTGCCTTGGAGAAGGATAGGTTGCAGGCTGCCACGTCTTGGCTTGTGACAGACCCCAGAGACTGCCTGGGTATGTGTGTGCCCACATCTCAGAGCACACTGTGAGGGACTGAAAGGCAATAGGAACTGGCCACCTTCAAAAAGCCAAGAAGTAATTTCTTCCTTATATTCAACAGCAGGGGATTCTACTCCCAATCCACCTGCCCCAGCACCTGTCTTGGGTCAAGAGATGGTGGGCAGTTAAGGTGCCCATAGCCGAACGAGAGGGCCAGGTTGCCACAGCCAAGCTGTGCAGGGACCAGGCGAGGGGTGGAGGGTGGGGGGAGCCTCCCTGCTTGCTTTACAGGTTGACTCCGAGCATGTACATCTGAGGGATACCTGGGACACTTGGGGGCTGAGAGGAAGGGAGAAAGGAGTCACCCCAGGCAAACCGGCACCCTTTCTCCCTCAGAGTAGGTCCCTCTCAAACCAAGCCTTCCCTCCTTCAGGGAAACAGGACACTTTCCAGGAGGTTCCAGAGATGAGCCAAGGCCTAGCCGGATTGAGTGGGTGTGAATGAGCGAACAAGTGATCGCACGGCCGGGGTGGAAGCTCCAGGGCCAGGCAGGGCAGGAAATAAGAGGTGGGGACAGGTCAGGCTGGGAAGCTGTGGTCCTTCCTATGTCCTGGCTTCTCCCCTCCACCTCACCTGTGGACTTGGGGAGCATGCTGGCTGAGCATGAGTGCGTGTGCCCGTGCGGGCTCGTGTCCCGCAAAGAGCAGTGCCGTCCACACAAGTCATCAGAGTGGCCATACTTCTGGGCACAATGAGGGAAAGACCATGGTCTAAAACTGGAATCTGCCAGCCAAAGGGGGCTTCTCCCTCCCCCAGCTGAGCCTCCCTGTGACCTGAGCTGCCGCCTGCCCATCTGGGGAACAGGTGGGGATCCCCCTGCAGAAGGATGTCAGTGGACCCAGAATGGTGCCTCAAGGCAGACAGCCCGGCCCAGGGTGTGCCCCCGCCCCCCCATGCCCCATTCTGACCATGCTTGGCCCTCTCCTCTGTCTTGCAGAACTTCAGCGAGAGGGAAGCATCGAGACTCTGAGTAACAGCTCCGGTTCCACCAGTGGCAGCATCCCAAGAAACTTCGATGGCTACCGATCTCCACTCCCCACCAATGAGAGTCAGCCCCTCAGCCTCTTCCCTACTGGCTTCCCGTAGGTACCAGCAACCTGCTTCTGGCTGCCCAGCCCGCTCGCCTGCTGGAGGAGGGGAGAAGCCCCCCTCTGGTCCTACCCTTCAGTCTCTGCTCCTCTTTCATCAACCACCTTCCCTAAGCTTAGTGACAGCAGCCACCCATCCTACCTGGATTGAGAAGAGACCCTTCTCCAAAGCACCTTCGTGTACCTGACCTCTGCCGCACCCGTCAGTGGGGGCTGCGGCCAGAGAGACTGCAGAAGCTCAGTCCCTTCTCTGTTTGCACATGACATCCTGCATTGGATCCGCTTTTGTATTTTTTAACATACCCACGGGAGCCTGGAACAGTGACCATATCTTGGGTGGGGAGAGGGTGGATCGTCCAGCAGAGCATTTGACCCTGCGTGGACAGTCTCAGCCCCAGCCTCCTCTGGCTGTGACACACACTGCCCCCAGCTTCCCTTGGTCAGCCCCGCTCCAGCATGGGGCGAACTAAGGCCCAGAGTATTAGGGAAGGAGGAGGGAAGAAGGAGGGAAGGAGATACCGCCCCTTCCTCCCTTCTTTCCCCACCGGCTCATGGGAAGAATTTGTTTCTTTTCTTTAAGCCCTTTTACCCTGGTCCTGTACTGTTCGGTGAAGGAAACTGGTTACCGAGGCCCTGTCGAAAGTGCACGTCTTGTCTAATAAATCACGCTGCAATTGGTGTCTATCCTTGAGTTGCTGGGGTCAGGGTCCTCTCCAAATGCTGAGCAGAGTCCTGTGGCTTTATTGCTGGGCTCCCAGCACCCCCTCCTCGTGCAACTTGCGGGGGGAGGTCTGTGGAGGGTAGGAATGGGAAGGAGAACTTTTGCTCTCGAATCTGGGTGGGGCCTGATTTAAGTCCATTCTCCAAACTCCTTGCCTGTTACCAGAGGCACGTGTCGAGGTACCACAGGCTCAGAGCCCCCCTGGTGTGGCAGTCCAGGCCAGTCAGGCCCTCGCCATGTGCTGGCGTTGCTGTGGGGAGGGGCGCTTGGCAGAGCCTCTGGCCTCATCTTTGGGACACCTTGTAATTGCCTCTCTTTTCAAACTCAGAAGGTGGGAGGGCAGTCAGGGAAGGTGGGTATTCATGAAACCTGGCTAGAACCTCCGATGACAAGTTCCTGATTTTGTTCCCTCCCTCCCATTTCTGGACCTAAAGTGAATGACAACAAGGAGACAGGAAGAGCGGGAGCACAAAGGTGTGTTGAGCAGGAAGGAGACTAACGCTAGTCCTAGTCACCCTCTTCCCTGGCCCACACGTCCCAGAGACCCCAGGGAGGCTTTGGGCGATTGAAGGAAATCCACTGAGCCATGTGTGGTTTGGGGTGAAGTTTAATGGAACAGCCAGAGAAGAGTTGAGTTCACAGACAAGCGGGACTTCCATCCAACCATCTGGCCAGAGCTGGGGCCCCTGCCCCCTTCACACACACCCCGCTCCCCTGGCACTAAGAAGAGACTTAATTTTCAGTTCTCGCCATCAAATTAGTTGGGCATGTTGGGAGGAGGGGGCCTGAATCACACGAGGCTCTGTAAGCTCAGGAGACAGTCCTGCACAGGGTGGCCTAAGCCAGTTCCTCCTGCCTGGGCACCTGCACGGTGAGAAGTCACGCCCGAGTGAGGCATGCTGGGAACAGAAGGAGGCCTGGGTCTAGCCAGTGGGGCTGCTGCGGGAGCTGCAGCTTTTCCCCATTTTGCTGATTGGAGACATTGATGGGCCGGGCACCACCCCCATGCCTCAGCTACAGCAGTATTTCTGTCAAAAGGGGACAGGGAGGAGAGTGCCATCAGGCTGCCTGTGCGTGCTGCCCATGGCCTGGCACCCTGGGGATGGGTCCAGAAGCTCCAGGAGCTCTAGGAAGCACCAGCCCCTCTGAACCCACCCTAGGGCACGTGGCTGGGGCAAAGACCTTGCTGCCAGGAGCTCTCTCAGCCATGCGGGGAACTGGCTGGCAGCTTAGAGTCAGGAGTCCTCTGTGGCCCAGCCCTTCCCCTCCGGTGGGGGCAAAACAGCTGTGGCCTCCTCCTCCAGTCAGGGAAAGTGGTGGGTGTAGGGCTGGACTTGTCGGCTGAGCTTGCAGGACAATCTGGTTATTCATCTGCTCGAGCAGTCAGGCCAACTCTGAGTATGTGGGGGAAGGGTGAGGATAAGAGAGGCCAGATAAGCTGGCCCCATGGCGGCTGCCACTGGAGCACAGGTTATCAGAAAGGCCTTGGGCCTGGCCCCTGGCTAATTGGAGAGGTTATAGACCCTGCCACAGTCTGTAATCAGCTGGAAGTGAGAACTGGGCCCCAGGGTGGGGGACCTTACGGTCCATTGGCCCCCAGAGCAGCCAGCATCCTATCCTCTACAGATAACATCCAGGGCAATCTCTGCCTCACCCTCAGCCCCAGCAGACCTCGTGATGGCATCACCTAGGAGGTCATCAGAACATGCATCTAACTGTGGCCAGACCAGGTGACCTTGAGGAAGCCATGTGGCCTCCCTTATCCTCACAGCACTACCTGTTCAATGGACAAATTACTATGGACTCCCTCTCAATTTGATGGAGGAAAAATACCTTAATGATCTGGAAAGAGGCTGGCGGGAGCCGGGTTGGCAACCGGAGGAGTGAGGGTACTGTCTAGGATTGATTTGAGAAAAGGCCCAGTGGTCGCAAGGCACATTCGGGCACACAAGCACCAACAGTAGGGCCAGCTCCTCTGTAAACAAGCATAGATCAGTCCAGGCAGCCCCTAGTCTGGAATTGGAGATGGTTTCTCAGCACTTTTTATTTTCACAGATCAGAGACTTTCTAAACTAGAAGGTACCTAGTACCTACCTAGCACTGGTAGATATTCGTTTTTTGCAGATGACAAGCCTGAGCCCCAGAGAGGGACAGGGCCTTGCCCAAGGTCATGAAGTCGCACAGCTAGTCAGCTGACCCCTGTCTGCACCTTGCTGCTTCCTGCCTCGGCCAGTTCCCTTAGAGGGGCCTGAATCTGAGCTGACCTCCCATGCCCCCACACAAGCCAGGACTCTGATCCCACTCCCCCATGCCTCAGTTCTTCAGGCTTCCAGCCTGGGCCCCTGACTAACTGGGCAGCTGCTCTCATCCCTGTGGAACTGGGAAAGCAGCCTCCTCCTGCAGACCTGGAACTGGACGCTCTAGGGCAAAGAGACAGCATCCTGTGTGCCTTGTATTCAAAGCAAGAGCCCAGGGGAGGGTGGAAGCCCTGGAGTCTCAGTATTGCCTTGCTGTATGAACAGGGGTAGGTAGCTTGGCAGCAGTGGCATCACTACCTTCTAAGGAGTGGATTTGGGCATGCTCCCTTTTAAAGTCCCAGGGTCCCATCTGAGCTCTGTCACCAGCACTCGGGTGGCCTTGGGTAAATTGCACCTCTGGGCTTCAGAGTCTTCATCTGTAAAGAGGGGGAGGGGTGAGGAGAGAGGAGCATGTCCTGCCTGGAGGAGCGACAGAGCCCAAGCAGGCAAAGGGGAAACTGCAGGTCAAGAAGGCAAAAGGGTGGTTCGAGGCACTGAGGCCAATGGGACAGGCCAGGTAGCTCCTTAACGAGGCATCCGGAGGGTGGCGGTGGTGCAGCTGGAGCACTACCCCCAAACTGCTCCAGGGACTCCTGCCCCCTCTCCCCACCTCCTTGCATAAGCATTTCTGAAAGCGAATCAAGAGCCTGGTGAGCGCGCGCGCGCGGGCCAGCCCCGCCCCTCTGTCACAGGTGGGCCCGTTCTAGGGGTCCTTCCTGCGCCTTACCCCCTCTCTCAAACCACTCAGCAGAGTGCCCTGTTCATGCTCCCGTGATCCCAAACACCAGCACACATGACTTCACATCATGCACGTCCACACGTGCAACTTCACAGGCGCGCACCTCACTTTTGCCGACCGCGGTGTTCCAAGCGGTTCGGTGGAACCGCGGTCCCAGAGCAGTGAGTAGTCTGGGGAGCCCCCCAAACTCTGGGGAAGTCCCCCAAAGTCCGGCGGAGACGTGGCCTTGGTCCTCGGCCTTGTGATCTCGCCCTCAGGTACAAAACAGTGTCCCTCGAGGGCCAGGTCTGTCCAGGCCCATAGCGGCCAGGCTGGGCCTAGACTTCGTATCAGCCTAGAAGACGAGGGACAGGGCCACACAGGCGGTGGCTGCGGAGGCACTTCCCCGGGCCTAACTGTAGGAAGTGGCCCCGCCGCCGATCCTGGCATAAGGCCGGGGCCACACCGCGACCAGGAGGGAGTTGGGCTGCCTGCTCTCCCCGCGTCTCCCGCCCCATCCCAATCGTTGGCACGACCCTGCGCGGGATAATTGGGACTGGAGAGGCGACGGGCGGGCGGCGGCTCCAGAGAGACTGCGCGCCTGTCAGCTGCAATTTGTGTAAGTGGACAGGACAGACCGGGCCGCTGCGGGCTGGGGTCACCAAGGCCGCGGCCCCCACCCCAGCCAGACCTGGGACCGCGGGGGAGCCCGGCCCGGCCGCTAAACCGGGCTGGCTGGCGCCAAGGCTCCGGGAGGTACGGGTGCGGCGGAGAAGCCGCAATGGGAAGCAGCTCTGTCCGCGGGAGTGTCTTCATTCACGCACACACACTGCACGTCAAGACTGGGACAGACGCGCCCAGGGGCACCACACAGCTGGTCATACGCAAAGGGCCACACACGTCACCGAGCTTAGCCTGGGCACATTCGTAGGCTACCGAGCGCTTATTGCCAGTCTCACGCCGGCGCCCCGTCACTCGGAAGCACGTTCGTCCCCTCTGCCGCACGACCACACATCCCCCCACAGCCCCGAGCGTCCTGCCATCCACTCCGCGCGTGCCCACTCAAACCCGCGCCCAGTCACACCGACGAAGACAACGGCGGGGACCCCCTTTGAGGTTCAAGCCGGGGAAGGTCCCAACAGTGTCCCTTGACCCCTGCGAGAGGTTACGGGCCAAAGGACGGACGGGCAGCCCAATCAGGCTCAGGACCGCGGCCCCACCCGGCCCAGGCTGCCCCGCCCGATTTCGCTGTTGCGGGAAGACCGCGCGCAATGGGCCGGAGGCCCGAAGGCCCGCGCCCGCCCGACGCCCGGGCCCAGGACCGCCTGGGAGAGGGAGGGGCGGCGGAGCGCGCGTCCCCCGCCCGTCTGCGGGGCCGGGCCGATGCGAAGTGACAGGGGCCGGAGCTTTGTTGTGGAGCCTCGGCCGCCTGGCGCCAGCCGCCCCCGCCCGTGCCCTCCCCCTCCAGCCCCGGGCGGCCTGCGAGGCGCCCCCCGGGGCCTCTTAAAGAAACACGCACACTCGGCCGGGGGGACTCCCCCAGGGGCGCCTGTTCCTGGGAAGGCGACGAGAGTAAACCTAGGAGGGGGAGGGGCCGAGCGGGAGCTGTGGGCTGCACGGCGCCGCTCCAGGGCCGCCCAGGCCTCCCTAGCGCCAGTTTTCGATGAGCCAAGGATATTCCTAACTGGAGAGTTGGGATGGGACTGGAAGCGGGGACGCGGAGCAGGGGCGGGGGGCAACACAGAATCCCGCGAGCGTCTGCAGCAGGAGGACTTCAGGGTGTTGCGGGACCGCGGGGCGGGGCAGGCGGTGAGATCCCAACAGGAAAAGAGCCCGAGAAAGCCAGAGGGCAGGTCGGTGGCTCCGTAGGTAGGATTGCGGTCCCCAAATATAGCTGCTGCACCATCGCCGCTGGTTTTCTTGGGCAAATAACCCAAGGCCTGCGT